CTCGTCTATGGCGGCGATGCCAAGACCCCCGGTTATTGGTCAGGGGCAGGGGGCTATGTCCCAGCCGGGCGCAACCTATGTGGACATCTCTGCCCAGGGGGAACCAGGGGCACAGATAGCTGAGGAGGAGGCAATCCCCTCAAGGGAGTTCTCGTCGTCTTCACCAGACAAGACCCTGGCCGACCCCACACCCAAGCCCCCTTTCTATGGACTCCAGGGCGCACCAGGAGCTGCTCCGAAGGCTGGTGGTCAATCTTGCAGTCCAGCATGAGGAGGTTCACGAGGACCTAGATCCTATGGTGGACATCATAGCGGCAGCGGGCCCTGGTCGAGTGGCGCTCCCACTGAATAAAACGGTGGACAAGCTGTCTAAAACTCTGTGGCAGACACCAGCTTCTATCGCACTGACCCAGAAGGGGGTCGAGAGAAGGTACTATGTACCCCAGGAGGGGCACGAGCATCTTTTTACCCACCCGGCTCCGGGATCCATAGTGGTTCAGGCCGCTGGGCAGAAGGAGCGCCAAGGGCCTCCAGGTCCTACTCCGAAGGCGAAGGAGCCTAGGAGATTGGACCTATTTGGCTGGAAGGCCTATGCCACGGGGGGCCTCCAGCTACGTATAGCTAACCAGCAACTGATGCTGGGGCGTTATGCTTTTAATACATGGGCGTCTATGCAGAAATTTGCCAGCCAGCTTCCTCCCGAATCCCGCCAGGAATTCAGGGCCCTGACGGAAGAGGGACAAGCTGTGGCGCGTACCTCTCTCCAGGAGGCCTTGGACGCAGCTGATTCGGCAGCCCGTAATATGGCCACAGGGGTTATGAGGCGAAGTGCCTGGCTGCAGGTGTCTGGCATCCCGCCCGAGGTGCAGACCACCATTCAGGACCTGCCCTTTGAGGGGCCGGCCTTGTTTTCAGAGCAGACTGATTCCAAGCTGCATAGCTTGAAGGACTCAAGGGCAACCCTGAAGTCACTAGGGATACATACCCCGGCGCCTCAGAGGCGCTCTTTCCAGACTAGACCCTACCCTAGAAAGGGGCGAAACAACGATAGGGGTTGCAGGAGAGGCCGCAACAAGAGCCGCCCTGACCTCTTCAGAGGCAGGCGTAGGGGCCCTCAGTCAGACTCCGAGAGAGGCTCAGGTCCGTCACCCGGTCACCAAACTAAGCCCTCATTTTGAAGGTACGCCAGAGAGCAGAGTACCAGTAGCGCCTATCTGTCCGCCCTTTGGGGACCGTCTTTCCCTCTTTTACCAGGAATGGTTAAAGATCACGTCAGACCGTTGGGTCCTAGACCTGGTGAAGCAGGGATATACTATCCCCTTCCTTTCCTACCCTGCTTCCTACCCCCCATCCCCTTCCCTTTTCAGGGACCCCCTCTCACGAGACACTCCTTTAGCAGGAGGTGTCCAACCTGTTGACGCTAGGGGCCATAGTGTGCCACCAGA